TCTGACCTAAAAAAAGTATAATTTTACCTCTGTAATTAATTCCATGTTGAAAGAGATTTGTAAGGACATTGCCCAATAGCAGATAACTAAAAGTGAACCCAGTTGTCATGTCCAAAATGAGATGCCTCTAGGGTGTTAAGAATGTGTCATAAAATCAAAGACTTAATTGATGTTTCTTCTGCATTAAGTTCAATGTCATTTTAATACCATTGTATGCTTTCTTTCCCTTCTTTAATTATCTAAAAGTTCTAAGTCAGTTATAAATATTATTTTGCTCATTCTCAAGATGTTGAGGGTAAAAACAGTGATCTAATTTCTGATCAAATCAAATCAGCATAAAACTAAAGATTCTTCTAAAAAGGTCATAGTCACATTTGTATCTATAAAAATTTCCATTAAAAATGACTATCTGCCTTATAAAAAAAAAAATCACCAAACCTGAAGCCTAACAAATAACCACACACTTAAATACAGTAGAGAAAAGGAAAAATTACCCCAAATCTGCAAGTCCTTATCAAAAGTTGTAACTCTTCAGACCACTTATCTGTTAAACTCAAAGGAAGCACAACATCCAACAAGTCATTTCCTCTTGGGATGATGAATAGAGGCCAAGAGCAAGAATGGCATTAAGTTATTACAGGTTGATAGCTATTTCAAGGATCATGAAACACCAGCTCTAAAGTAAGAAAGACCTCCATCTAAGTCCCACCTGTTTACTACCAATGTGACACTGGACAAGTCGGTTCACTTTCCTGGGTCTCAGTTTCCGTAACTTTAAGACGGAGGAGGGGAGTTGACTAGATGATGTCTGAGGTCCTTTCCAACTCTAGAAAAATGATCCTATGATCACTGGTCTTCACTTTTTAGAATAGTAAGCACATAAAGTGGTAATAGCAGAATCTTATCTAATTAAGGATTAAAAAATTAACCCTGAAAAAGGATTTTTATCATTCCTCCTCACATATCATTTTTCATGTAGAAAATACCCTCAGGATCAAATTAAGGGAACTGCCATAGTAATTTTTTGATATAAATTCTAAATACCTTAAGTCAACTCTAAGTCATCCAAAAAAAAAAAATCTCAGATACTTAGTTGAAACTCCATCTTATTATGTTAATTTGCTAGAAATAGTTGTATTCAAGTAGAAATATAAAATTCCTTCCCCAAAATGTACATAAATGATGGTGTATTATGCTAAATAGGGCTCTACACTGCGAATGTGGACTGCTGAGTTGACTACAAGACATATGTACGTGGAATTACATTTTGAAGGTGTTTTGAAGGCTCATAAGTCTAGAACTGGAAGGGGTCTCAGAGGTCATCTTGCATACAACTCCTTAATTCGACATACTAGAAAAATAAGGTTAAGTGACTCAGCCTACGTCACACTGATAGTAATATGATAAATGTCAGCTGTAGGAGCTGAACTCAGATCCTCAGACTCCAGGGCCAGGACTCTTCACACCAAACTATGGTAACTAACTCTGGCCCTTTCAAAGCAGTGACTTTCAAGTCAAGACTTCAGAAGACTGAGGATGAAGCATATCTCCTTGGTAATGAGGTGACAGGCCAGAAGTAGACAGTGAGACAAACATTTTCAAATGTGGCCAATGTGTTGATTTGTTTTGCTTGACTATAAGAATTTGTGAAATGGACAGTGAGGTGAGTCAGTAGAAAGTGATAGAAATGCAAAAGCAAAAAAGAAAGAGAAGTCAAAGAAAAAAGGGCAAAAGAAAACAGTTCAGAAGAGAACACAGAACAATTCTATTGCTTTCTTTTTAAATTAATATATAGACTTAAAAAACAAATTGCATATTACAGACATTTAATTTCATATATTCTTTTCATTTTTCTTTATTGAAAAGTTAATTTGTTGATTATTAAATTCTTAATAAAAAGAAATTTTCCAAAAAGAAACTACAAAAATACTTAGTATTTTTATAGCACATTAAAGTTTGGAAAGTGCTTTACAAATACCATTTCATTTGATCCTCACAACAACTCTGGGAGGTATGTGCTATTATTATCCCCATTTTTCAAGTTGAGGAAATTCAGGCGAGCAGAGATGAAGTGACTTTCCCAAAGTTATAGAGCTAGTTAAGTATTTGAGGACAGATCTGAGTTCAGGTTTTCCTGACAGCAGGGCTAACACTATATATTTTTTAAGTATATCCCAATGTTAGCCCTCATGTGAAAAGAAGCAGCCCCTGCAGAGAAGGAGCCAACCATCCCCTCCACCAAATGCCAGACAACCACAAAGAGGGCAGGAAAGCCAGTCTGGAGGAGGATACAAGGAACCCAGGAGGAGAGACAGAAAGCAACATGTGTCAGGCAAGTCAAACTATTCCTGCCATCTTGACCAGCATCTTACTCACACCCTGATCCTGAGCCCAAGAGCTGTGGGAAATTCAAGAGCTGAGGCCATTATCCTGAGAAAGAACAAACTGCTCCTACAGGTACTGTAGTTGCAACTACTGAAGACCCAGAAAAGGAAGTTCTTGCCACCAAACTCATTGCAACTTTCAAATGGTTCTATATCAAAAACTAAAATCATTTTATCAGTAGAAAGGGTGTATTAAAAAAAAGGCATTAACAAATACTTTGCTGCTGTACTCTAAGGAGCATGGGACTTTTCTTTCTGACTTGCAACTGAAACCTTCCATGTTGTTTCCTCCCTCATTTGCATGTGAGCCCCTAGAGAGCAGGGACTGTCTTGTATTACTATTTGCATGCCAGCAAATCACAGTGCTTTCTACATAGTTAGTACCTAAGAAATACTTCATTCATTCATTCCATTTTCTTAGCATCATGAAAGATCTTAATTCCCAAGTTATTTTGATTGGATAACACACATTAAAAAGTACTAGATATTGATAAAGCACTCATTTCACAATACAGACAACTGGGTCAAATTTATAAGAATGCAAATCATTCCCTAAGTGATAAATGGTCAAAGGATATGACCAGGCAGTTTTCAGATGAAGCAATCAAAGCTATAGTCATATGAAAGAAGACTCTAAATCACTACTGATTAGAGAAATGCAAATTAAAACAACTCTGAGGTACCACTTCACACCTATCAGAGAGGCTAATATGACAAAAAAGGAAAATGATAAATATTGGAAGGGATGTGATTAAATTGGGACGGTAATCCACCGCTGGCAGAGTTGTGAACTGATCCAACCATTCTGGAGAGCAATTTGGAACTATGCCCAAAGGGCTATCAAACTGTACAAACCCTTTGATCCAGCAACACCACTTAACTAGTTCTGTATCCCAAAGATATTTTAAAAAAGGGAAGGGGCGATCTATTTGTACAAAAATATTTATAATAGTTCTTTTTGTGGTCACAAAGAATTGGAAATTGACTTGGATTATTGTATTGCTGAGAATAGCTAAGTCATTCACAGTGTCTTACAATACTGCAGTCTACAGTGTTTTCCTGGTTTGCTCACTTGGCTTTGTATCATTTTATGTAAGTCTTTCCAGGTTTTTCTGAAATCATCCTCCTTGTCATTCTTTATAGCATATTGATATTCCATTATAATTGTGTACAACAACTTGTTCAGCCCTCAATTTCCAATCTGGGATCTGAATGCATATCGAAGCATACTATTTTTCACTTTCTTTCTTTTTGTTGTTGTTTAAGTTTTCTTACACAAAATGACTAATATAGAATGTTTTACATGTATAACCTATATCAATTGCTTACCGTCTCAGAGAAGTGGGAAAAGGAGGGGTGGATAGAATTTGGAACTCAAAAACTTAAAAAAAAATATTAAAAACTGTTTTTCATGTAATCAGGGGGAAAAAATTTTAAAAAAGCACAAGGTAGATAATATATGCCTTGGCAAACATAAATAGCAAAAGTAACACAGAAATATACAACCTCTCATTTTGCCAGTATACGTAATTCACCAAATAGAGACTTTCTTCACAAGTTCAGCCTTCTCTTACTTCTTAGTTAAACTCAAGAGAACTGAGTGAGTCACAGAAAAGTTAAATGACTTGCCCAAGGTCAAAAAGTCATTAAGTGACAGAAAGAGGATTCATACTCATGTCTTCTACCCCCAGTTCTCTACCCACTATGCCATGAAACCTCAAAAGCAATAAAAAAGTTCAATAAATCAAAGCTAATTATACAAGCTTAGACAACATAAACACTACAACATTAATATATCTTCCATTTATATCAATCACTAAAGCTTTTCCCAACGTTTGATTATCTCATGAAGATGGATGACCCTTACTTCTTTAAGACTACTCTAATAGAAGAAAAGCTTTAAAAGTTTCTACCAAGTGAGAGGGGGCTCAAGTGTGGACCTAATGATGGACTATCGACTGAGACATGATGAATTGAGATCTGCATCAAGAGGGAGTACCTACAATGATGAAATCACAAATTCTTGACATTTAAAAAAATACATTGACATGGATTTTCATTTAAATATGATTCTAGTGTTAGAAATGTGGCCATGGAGCCTATTGAAGTAAAATGCAAATATAAAGAAAACAGATAAAAATGCTGTGCAGAAGGAGATGTGTGGTGAATAAATTCTCTCTGAAAAAACTAAGGCCCATTCACATACATCCTTTACGGTAGCAATAAATTAGGATTTTGTTGTTGTCATTTGATTTTATTGAGTAGGCAGAGGCATAATGGATGGTCCCTACTTTCTTGAAGATTAAATAATAATAGAACTAATAAAATAATAATAGAATGACTAGAACAAAGCTACTGCCTAATCTGGAATAACTTTTTAGATTGACTCATGTTACACAAGTTAATAATTTAAATCAAAAGGACTGTCAAAATCAACTTCTTCATCACAGTTGCTAGCTAGAATTTCACACAATTTTATGTCATGAAGACATCAAGGCAGTTTTCATTAATATTTACATAAGACAGGCTGTTTCAGCAGGTTGGTACAAACACTTCCTTAAGGAAAAAGACTTAATTTACTGTATTACACATTACAGAAAGAGAGGAAATACTTACTAGTACAAAACTTCATTTGCTTCATGTCTTTCATATCTCACGGTTTCACACATTAATCTATAAAAGAAATAAAAAACTTTAGATGTGAAGTTAATATCACCTACCTTAAAAGGATCAAAAAATTAAATAAATTCATTTAGAATGTTAAAATAAGAAAGTATTTTGCTAATCCTTCTAATACTAATAAAGAAATGTTATCAGTACTTGGTGAAATAAATTCTGAAATAAACAACAAAGTCATTATATATAACAGCTTCCAGCAAAAGAAATATAACTATTAGATGTCAACTTTATCTTGTCACTTTTCAGGATAAAAACTGTGTGTACCTTTCTATTTTGTTTAGAAAAAAAAAGCAAAAGTAAAATTGCTCAACTGCAGATATAAAGGTATTCAAGAAATGTTTGTGGTATTAATCACATCGCAGTTAGCAAGAATATTACTATACTAAGTCCCAATAAAACTATTTTCTCTAAACATACTCAAATGTAAAAAAGAGAAGGCATGATCTCTCACATATAATTCTGTTCTACTGGAGAAAGAGATGACTTTTCTTTAAGTATGTGATTACTTTTCCCTAGAAAATCATCCTTTCCTCTGTAAATATAGAATAGGTCAAAAGTACATAAATCAATTCAACAACAAAGTTAATAATAACACAGTGAACATTAAAAATAAAATAAAAGTTCAACAAACATTTATTAAGTGGCTATGGATAAGATACTGTGCTGAGGTGTAGCCAAAAGAAAAAACCTAGCATGCTAACAAAAGATACTGCCAACTGGAAACAAAATACTGTATACACAGCCAATTTAATTACTAGTAAGTATGTGGGTAAAACCATAGATTGACCTAAACCAATAGTGTGCAAATCAGTATAACTTCAATAGCACGGGCAAAATGAATCAAATATTCATATCCACTAATTAAATTTTATTTTTTCCACTGAAGTAAATATTTACATATAGGACAGAGATTTGGAAATTCCAAGAGCAGCTCCATAACGTCATCTCAATCCTCTCCCAAATATGTAACATTACAATTATATTTAGCATTTCCCAATACCACTAACATTTTAGTTGATTATTTACTTTTGACCATGGTTCAGATTGGGTTTTTTTGGCACAAGGTGACACAAGAATCCGAGGATGTCAAGAGACAGCAACCAAGTGCAAAGCCGAGCATAAGGCACAATGGTATATACTGAAGATCAGAATTAAAATGAAAGAAATCCATAGGATGGGGCTCTAACCATCATCTATTCTCTCATCCATTCCTCAATCTACATGCTTACTCTCACCCTACCTTTAGTTCCATAATTCCCACTGCCTCAGGGATGTTAAAGAGGTAGATAGGGAGAGGGAGACAGAGAAAGAAAGCCTAGGAATGGAGGTGGGGAGAGGAAGGAAGAGAGAGAGAGAGAGAGACAGAGAAAGAGAGAGAGAGAGAGAGAGAGATCCAAACCAACTTCTCTCTCTTCCCAACTTCCCCATTTCTATTAATCTGACTCACTGCTACCAGTCTCAAAACCCTAAAGGCATTTGAGATTCACCTCTTTCCTGCAACTCCTATTTTTAAACATTCACCAAATATAACAGATTCTAGCTTTAAATTGTTTTTCATATGTATCCCTTATTCTCCTCTCCCACTGCCAGTACACTAAATCTGGATCCCCATCAAATTATAACCGAGTTGCTTCAATTGCTCCCTAATTGGCCCTTCTGCCTACACTCTCTCAAGCTGTCTACCATATTAAGAGTTCTTAAAAATAAAAAAAAATAATAATAAAAACAATGTCATATGTATGCTCAATTATGAAAATTTAAAGTTTTCACTGTATTTTTATAACATTCCAAATTGCCTTAATAAAAACATTACCTAATCCAATATAAAATGGCTTGTTACTTACCAGACCCCTAATTATCATTGTTCTATGTGATCTTAATCATTCTTAATCATTCCACATGGTGTTTCTCTCACCTAGAATAAATACCTTTTCTTCATACCTTTTAAATCCTGTCTATCCTTCAAATCCCATTCAAAATGTCATCACTTTCATGAAGTCCTCCGCTGACTACAGCAATGCACATTAATCTCTTATAACTCTTCTAATAATTATAAGTCAATACCACACAGTTGGTTTATTGCACACCATCCCATTTTTTTTTTACTGACCAAACCAAATACTTTACTATACTTCCATGTAATGTCACTATATAGAAACTTGGGCATATGGAGTAAACTGAACAAGAAACTCCTAGGGTACAGGAATTTAAATGTACTCCATCTATCCCATAGTCCAAAGCAAGGTGTCACAATGCTGCAAACAGAGACAAAAAGAACCAAAGAAGTAAAAAATGGTGAGGGGTGAAGAAGGGGAGGGAGAAAAGAAGAGTTAAGCACCTTAAATGACCACAGCAAGAAAAGGTATTTTACCAAAATTCTAGAGAAAATTCTAAAAATCTAAGAGAAGAAATGACAGTTTATAGTTAGGCACTGATAGTTTAAAATTTAATAATACAATAAAAATAAATAATGTGTATGTGCCATTGGTCTACCAATGACTAACTTTAGACCTAATTTTTAAATCGTAACTAAATATTCCCGATTATAATACCCATTAGTCCTAAGACACACTAAACAAAAACTTCTTCCATAATCCGAATCTATAAGTTAAAAATAAAAACTTACAGGATTTTATAAAAGTGTGTAATGCTCTTTCTTGGGGCAGCTAGATGTTGCAGTGGATAGAACACTGGGCTTGGAATCAGGAAGACCCATCTTCCATGAATTCAAATCCAGCCTCAGAAACTTACAGCTGTGAGACCCTGGGTAAGTCACTTAACTTAGTTTACCTCAGCTCCTCATCTGTAAAATGAGCTGAAGAAGAAAATGGCAAACCACTCCAGTAACCTTGCCAAGAAAACCCCAAATGGGGTCTAGAAGAGTCGGACATGATTGAAACGAGTGAATAACAATGCTTTTTTCTTGCCTTTAAAAAAAAAAACAAAAACATAAGTTCAATTCAAATTGATCAATATTAACAGCACTTCCTGTGAACGAGGTACCATGCCAGGCATTAAACCCAGAGGATAACACCTTTTCTGCCCTCCAGGAATTTAACATCAGGGAAGACAAATACACAATAACGACAACGTAAAGCAGAAAATCAGGGATGAAAGAGGGGGTTCACATAAAGTGCAATGACTTGAAAGGTGAGGAAGAGATCACCTCAGGTTACAGAGAATATAGGAAAGTGTATCAATTAAAAAAAAAAAAGATTGTTTGAGATGGACCTTGAAGTGTACATAAGGTTTTAAAGATCAGAGTTTGTGAAGAGAACTTTCCTTCACAATTATACTACAGACGAGATTATATTTATCAAGTGTTTGGCACAGTGCCTATCACATAGTAGGTACTTAATAAATGCTTATTCCCATCCAAGGAAAATGGGTAATGTGAAGCAGTTTGCTTCTGCTAAATGACCCCAGGCCACTGTGCCATCTAAAAGTGGGCCTTTTACAGTTTTTCAGATTCCTAGGCCATCATGTTGTCCTCTGTAACTTCTTGATGACTTTGTCTGTAGTAGATCTGTTCAGTCTTCAATTTATATACTGAAAGAGTAAATCTGGAAATGACTATTATGTGAAAACAAAAATCATCCCTAAAATATTTTTCAGCATCACCAAGTATCCATGGGACTCTCCTATGCATGAGCCCCCTTTTGTACATGAATTTTATCACATGTTGGCTACTCTGAGACACTTTTTTCTGGTCTATTTTTCTTTTCTTTTCTGATTTTTTTTAGCTGGGTTACAGATAGCTAAGATTTTCTAATAAATAAATCCCAGATAAATGAGGGGTAAACTGTACAGTCAAGCTTTTTATTATTTAAGGAATGGGAGTGGGGTCAAGAAATCACATAATAGGTAAATAGATCAGACAGATTTTAAATACTACTAAAATTTTCCACTTAAAATGTGTTCATCAAAAAGAGCTAAAAAGAATGAAATTTTCTGCCTACAATTAAAATTTTAAAAAATATTTTTATTAAATAAAGACAATAATATTAGAAATTCCCTAAGAGATACAACACATTTTTTAAAAAATAATTTTCAATAACATTAGCCTTCTATTTCTAATTAAAATTTGTCTCTCAGTACTACATAAAATTCCTATGTTCTATACAAACACATATATACACATGTGTGTTTAAATAAATATGGTTGCAGTTCAGTTATGTCCAACTCTTTATGATCCCATGGACGATAGCATGCCAATACTGTCCATGGGATTCTCTTGGTAAAGATACTGGAATGATTTGCCATTTCCTTCTCCAGTGTATTGAGGAAAACAGAGGTTAAGTGACTTGCCCAGGGTCACAGAGCTAGTAGGTATCTGAGGTCAGATTTGAACTGAGGTCTTCCTGACACCAGGGCCAGTGCTCCATCTAGCAAGCCATCTGGGTGCATGTGCCTGTATGCATGTGGTGAATGTGTGTGTACGTGTGTGTGTGTCTGTGTACGTGCACACCCATTTATCTTTCTAGCAACAGATATAAAAAATACAGATGTAGATATCAGAGGTATAGTTTTAGGTACTGATACCTATTGATAAGTATTAATCAATACCTAGCAATAATAGGTATTGATAAACCTACATCTATTAGATATAGGTTTAGGTATACTATAGGAATCAGCATAGCTATCCACATAAATACAGATTGAAATATGCAAAATATAAGCTAGATTTTATAGTCTGCAAAAAAAAGGAAGCCAAAGATTACATAGGAATTGTTAACAGAAGTAATCACTTAGGTAAGGAATCATCAAAAGTACTAGGTCTATTTTTTTCTTTATTTACATATACTTGGGAGACTATATACTCTCTAAAAAAATTTTTTTAAGTTGAATAGTGTTGCTAATTCCCAATAGTTTTGCTTTCCCAGTTAAACTTTATTGCATCTTTAAATAATTCACCTACAAGCTACATTAATTTAAATTATTTTTATTAAAATTTTCATTTCAGAAAGACAATTCTCCTGATACTTTTTCAATTAAAAACTAAATACAAAGTAAGTGTGCTTATAAATTAATTGGTCTTTGAAGTGTAAGGGGAGAATACACAGAAAAATAAATTTTTAATAAGGAACAATGACTAGTTTTATAGTTGGCATGTTTGGTTGATTGGGGGAGGGGGTGGGAAGATAGAGTGGATTAGGCACCCTGCATTAGGCAATGTAGTGGCTGCCCACTCTCAGGGTCTCACCATATTGGTGCCAAGCTTAGTGCAAATACTCAAATGGCTTTGGCCCTACTGCAACTCCAAAGACCCACCAGCATCCACTTTCCCCAGCAGTGGGGATTACAAGTGTACTCCACTTCAAAAAGCCAGGTGGCATCTTTAAGTAAAAATGAAAGAAACAATACATAAACAACACACACCTCAGTTTATGTGTGAGGGAATGATAAATTAATTGTACTCTGAAGCTATTAAAAAATGTCATTAGATCATACATATCCAATTGATCTGGCTATAGTACTTAGGAATCATCTGATACTTAAGTAATCAGAGTTTTCTTGATATTTGTGTCCAATTACCAGATAAAAGATAAATATAAATCACCTCACCTAGAGGTCTGGCACAGTAAACTGTTAGGGATTGGGATGTTTGGACTAATCAAATTACCATATACTCTTGACACAGAGATGATAAAAACGTACATACTTTCTAGCTCTAAATCCGCGATCAGCATTTTCCCAAGAATTAGAATACATTAAAATACACTTTGAAATTAAAATCATGCTTTAAAGATATGTTCTTTTGTTGCAGTGGGAACTATCTCCAGGAATAAAAATTGAATGCTGTAAATATTTACTAGAACTTTATTAATTGTTTAATTCTAAGTTCAGAATAAAATAAATATTTTTTAAAATGAAATACTTATTAGAGTGCTTCTTGAGGCTCAAGGGAAGACTTGCCCATGATCACATAGCTAAAAACCACTAAAGGCAATACCTGAACTCCTGTTAGTGACCCAGTCCATCCAGTCTATACACCACACCATGTTGCCTGTCTAACTAAAATTATATTGAACTTTTTTTTTGAAACTTTAAAAATTCTAAAGGTAAGGGCAGCCTGGCATAACAGATAGAGAGCTGGCTTCCAAGTCAAAAAAACCTGAGTTCAAATTCTTCCTGATGAGTATGGGCTACATTACTCTAGGCCAGTCACTCAGTTTCTAAATGCCCCAGACCATTTTTTAAAGGCAAATTAAAATTAGGAAAGCAGATACAGATTTTTTTTAGTAGTTTTCTCACTGAGCGTTCCCTATACCAATCAAATTACATGTTCAGTACCAAAAAAAAAAAAAAGCTATTTTTTTTCATAAGGCACTTCAGGATTTTATAGTCCTTCATGCAACCTCATGATTAAATATTGCATTTTAGTGTCCATAAGTACCAGTAAATAAATGATTTCAGTTGACAGAATGACAAATAAACTAGCTTTAACTGTACCATTGGGACCATATGCTGGAATTTTTCACTCATGTGGCTCCAAAAATAATTATGGGGCATATAAAAATGTATGAAACTGAAGAGGAGACTGAGTGAGGGGCTTCCAGTTGGGGACCCAAACATCTCTCAATGAGGCAAAGTCCAGTGTGGTTAAACCTCAAGGTATCAGCCTAGTCACAATTCTTGTCTTTTTTCATTGTTATTCCGGGGCGGGGGAGGGGAGAGGAGTGAGGCAAACTATGGGGGGAGAAACAGGAAGAGAATCTATTTCAACATTTAAGACTGAGCTCAACTTACCCATAGCTACAAAACTTGGACTTGTAAATTCCAAATACAATGATACTGAGAAACATTTTCACAAAAGGAATGTAATGTTTAAAACCATAATCTCGTACCTTTGAAATCAAGGTCATTATTAATTAAACCTAACATATGCACTTACAGATGTAGGATTTTAGAGTTGGAAAGGACTTTGAGAAATCTTCTAGTCTAGTCCTCTCATTCTGCAGATTTGATCTATCAAAGTGAAATCTCCCTCTGAGACTATTTCTAGTTTTTCCCATAAATTTCTTGCATGGACAAGGTACTTTATATGTTGTCTCTCTCTATTATTAGAATGTGAACGCCTCCAGGACAGAGACTGAGTTTTTGCCTTTCTTTGTATCCCAAATACTTAGCACTGTGCTAGGCATAGAGTAAGCACTTAATAAATGCTTGTTGACTGTACAATTTTTTAAAAAACAGAATTATTTTAACTTATTTACACTTAACATCAAGCAAAAAGATAACCCCACAGATGATCTCTTAAAGTATCTATAATAACAAACAATGCAAAGGAGAAAGGGCTAATACTATTACTTTTAGGCAAGGTACTAGCTGAATCAAAAAGAGACTTATGGAAAGCAGCTACAAGCATAAAAGATGTAGGAAAAGGGGCAGCTAGTTGGTGCAATGGATAGAGCACAGGCCCTGGAGTCAGGAGGACCTGAGTTCAAATCCAGACACACAGTACTCAATAGCTATATGCTTCTAGGCAAGTCACTTAACCTCAATTGCCTCACCCCCACCCCAAAAAAAAGATGTGGGAAGAGCACTTTGAAAACTTTACAGCATTAGATAAATCTAAACTATTAATTTTATTTTTATTTATTTTATATTATTTATTTTAATATTATTTTATCATTTCAATACCAAAATGGCAAATACTCCAAAAAAAAATATCCGTACCCTCTCCAGTTCTGTCTGAAAACTTGAATGTGGTAATGGTTTAGAATGTTTAAATTTAGTGTTTGTATTTTCCTGTAGAAATTATTTTATTTTATTTAAATAAGGTTTTAAGGAATATATGATGGGGGGAGGGGGCACTTAGCACAGTGCTCGGCAAATAGTTAAGTAACTAATAAAAGTATATTGATACATTGATTCAAAATCCAGACCAATTTTATCTTCTGTTCCAGTGAATCCTTGTCAGGAGTGGTCACACATATTACCAGGAATCGTGATCACAGATTAATCTTAAAATGACATACCTAAGTTGATGCTCCCTCAAGTTAGACAAAGCTTCCATTCCATGTAAATAGGAATACACTATTTCCAGATCCTGTTTTAAAAGAGAAAGAGGAAGAAAAATCATTAGGCCTGTTAGAAAAATTAGATTTTAAAACAGTCACTATATTGACTAAAAATAATAGTACTGTATCTTAGAGAAATCACTGAAAGAGAAAATGATTATCTGTAGAAAAACAGCTAATTTGTACTTATATTAGTGAAAACCTAGACACGACCTATACACTAAGCAATTGCAGAATGGCTAAATAAAACTGATGTATATTTTTGTAATGGAATACTACGGCCTCATAAAGAAAATACTACGTGGTTGAAAATCATAAAAGCACCATGATTTCTCAAAAATCATAATTGCAGGTGAATGACTGAAAGGGCAATAAGCATGCTAAATATAAATAGGCTGTTAAAAAGAAAAATTACAAATTTCAATTTGCACACAAGGAAGGGCATAAAAGACTTCATCTGTGACAAGTGTAACTGGAAAAGGAAATAGGGCCTGTCATCCAGTGAAAGGGCGGGCTAACAGATGAACAGCTCAAGCATTAGGCTTATACCCATTAAACATTAAAAGGCCCATTGGGAAGTGTTCCTAGGTTTGGGATAGAGTTGCTTCAGATGATTTATGGAAGGATATAGACATGAATCTAACTGGATATAAAGGCATAAAAACAACAGAATAAGCTGACATTACATTACCAAAAAAATCTATTTTTTTGCCTCAACTTATGATTTTATCAGCAAAGGGAGCTCCTGGTACAGAATTTGCTCTGTCATGCAGAACATTTTCTCTGCAATTTACAGTCTTGGAGTGCTGCCTAGAGGGACAGAGGCTTTAAATGCTTAAACTTAATGATACATAACTAATTTTTTATTCAGGGCAGCATTTGAACTCAAATCTTCTTGACTTAAAATTGACCTTGCTTTGAATCATTTGGCATGTGTTTCCTCAAATTTCCTTGTATCTATAATATAAAATGTGTGTATATATGTAAATATACATGTGTGTACGAAATGTGTGTATATATATGTGTGCATGTATACATATGTATGAGGGGCAGTTAGGTGGCACAGCAGATAGAATACCTCGCCTAAAGTCAGGATGACTTATTTTCATGAGTTCAGATCTGGCCTCAGACACTTAATAGCTCTGTGACCCTGGACAAGTCACTTAACCCTGTTTGCCTCAGTTTCTTTATCTGTAAAATGAGCTAAAGAAGGAAATGGCGAACCACTTAAGTATCTTTGCCAAGAAAACCTCAAATGTGGTCACAAAGAGTCAGACATGACTGCACAACAGCAACAAATACACATAACATTATGCATACATACACCAGTCAAATATAATAGAGATTTACAGTCACACAGGCTCAGAAGAGAACACAGCAAACTCATTTTTTGTTCGCTTAATTTCCATTTGTTAAAACATATGGTATACATTGATTAGGGAATGGCTAGACAAACAATGGTTAGTGAATGTAATAGATTATCATTATACTCAACAATACAGATCTGATTATGGTGCTGCACCACAAGTATAGTTAGCACCAAGAGTATTGTGTACAATCAGTCACTAATGCAGAATCATTCTGAAGTGACCTCATGTTTAACTTTGCTTGACTTTGCCTATGTTCAGCCAGGCCAGCAGGAAGAGGGGACATGGGGGGGGGGTGTCCTAAAGGAGAGGGCAGTCCCACATGCTCTAATCCTGGCTCCTTAGACCTAATCCCATCTCCTCATAATGAGATAGCAACCTCCACCAAGCTCACTAATCCATCTCCTTATTTGAAGGGTGAGTCAATCACAATACTATGGGGAGGAACTGAGACACCGTTTCTGAGTCCTGTACCTATCAGATTTTTCTTGCTCTTCTTAGGAAAGCTGTCATCAAAAGGAGCTGGTGTTAGCCTTGTGGCCAGCCCCCATCAAACATGTTTCTGCCTCGGTGTTGTTTGATAACTTTTTAATTTAAAAAAAAAAATTATCATTGCACTATAAGAAAAGAGGACTATGACAAATACACAGCAAAATAATACACAATGACTAACAATCAAAATGCATGTATAAAGTCCTTACTATGTGGCAGGCACCATGCTACAAATGGGAATGAACCACAACAATGACAATGGCAAGAATAACATGAAAAGAAACAAAACAGAATGCTCAGAAACTTTATCAAGTAATGCTGGCCCCAAAGAACAGATAAAGGATTGAACTGTCCTTCCTTTGCAGAAATAGGTGACTATGGTTGTGGAACACTACATACGATGGTAGACTTGGCTGATATATTTTGCTGAACTTTTTTCCCCTCTTTCTCATTCTTTGTCATAAAAAAGTCACTTTTATTCTCTTATACTTTCAGTATGTACAATATACCAATGGACCAAATCTATTTTAAGGTGGACACAATCTTATTGTTAAAGTTATAAGAGATGGATCTCTGAGAGGGCAAAGGGAATGAGAAATTAGGAAACGAAGATAATGCAAAAAAAAAAAATCAAATACAAAAAAATCAACACATTTTTAATTAAAAAATAAGTGTATGGCATGACAGTCTGCTTTTGAATCGAGATATAAAATGGCAAGATCTAGGCCATTTTTGTCTAACTCCATATTTGGTTAATTTCTCTATACTTTAAAGCATGACTTTGCCAATACTGAAGGGATCTTTGCTCTCTTGTGGCTCACTTTCCAACAACAAGACAATGCCTATAATAATCCTCATTATTAGGTCCCCACATTCTAAATGCTATAGACCATAAAGGGATAAACCTTAAAGTTATATCCTAGAAACTCTACAATAAATAAAGAAAAATCAAACTCCACCCCTCCAACATCAATATACTCAATAGCCTCATTTATAGCCTTTGCACTAAATGGTTTCCATAATCAATCAACAACATTTATTAAGTATGTGCTAGTAAATCGTGTGTGGTTTGTTTTTTAAAAAAAAAAAATACACAAAGCTCAATGACATAGTTCCATTTCATTTAGGAAAAAGTTAGAATAATACTTTTCCTTTTTAAAAATTGCTCTTTGTAACATTGTGACATTTTTAGCCAGAGTCGTCAAGAGTCTTTAAATAAGATTTCCATTTTACCTCTAGCTTCTGTAACATGGCACTATAGATTCTAGTCCAGGACGTGCTCATAACTAGCTATATGATATTTGACAGATCACTTAATGTTCTTAAACCACAAATTCTTCATCTACAAAATGATATGGTTGGACTAGATTTCTACAGTCTCCTCTAGTCCAGAATTCCAAAATCTTGGATAACTCAATTGCTTTCTCTAGTCCTCAATATCCTCACCTATAAAATATAAAGTGAATTCACTAGATGATCTCTAAGTTTCTCCATTCTTTTATCTACAAGTGACTCCTCTTATATAGAAATTTACACAGAAAAAAAAAACTTTTTGAAAAAATAAAAGATGTACAGAATCTTGACAAAGATAAATAAGGAAAAGTTTTCAAATAATTAAAATCTGCATGTTTAAGGTATTCTTTATGCCTGTACTGTCCTGATTCCATTTCCAGTAGAGAAACCTTTGATGAGAGAGGTTGTTTGTTTTATGTCCATTATCCCCAGAATCTAGCCCTACCATTACACATAGTAAGCACTTAATAGATGCTTTTAATAACAATATTTATTAAGCACCTACTATGGACAGGCATTTGAATTGGACTTCAAAAGATGAGTGCAATTTGAAAAGATGGTACAGTCCCAGGCATGGAGTCAAGAAGACCTGAGTTCAAATGCAGCCTGGGACAATTACTAACTGTGTGACCCTGGGCAAGTCACTTAACCTCTATTTACCTTAGTTTCCTAATCTGTAAAATGGGAATAATAACCTACTTTCCAGATCTGATCCTCACAACAACTTCATCTACAAAATTATAAGGTTGGACTAGATGTCTACAGTCTCCTCTAGTCCAGAATTCCAAAATCTTTTGAAGTCCAATTCAAATGCCCCCCTGTTGTAAAGCCTTCTGTAACCTCCCCGTCCCCCCACAACTCACCAAGTTATTATACCTCTTTCCCACCCCATGCCCCATCCCACTCCCACTGCCAACATTCTGTCTGTCTGTAGTGATATCTTATCCCCCTTTTAGACTGTAGGCAGGGTATGTGTTTTTATCTAAACTTGGTATCTAGCCCAATTTAATTAAAAGGATGGAAAAGATTTAGAAAGACAGAATCTACAGGGAATGATATAAGCATTTCAACAGCAAGAAAAACATTCTATTACATATCTATCAACAGAACATAGCACATACCCCACCCCCCAAAAATGTTTAAAACCTGAATAAGGTCTAGTGATAGTTCTTATGAGGAATGACAACCACACACACATACCCACAGTCCCACACATACTCTTTTAAAAATTTTATAGGAGAAATATAACAAGATATTCTATGTTCTCAAACAATGGATAAAGAGCAGTTATAAATTCATAAGCTCCCTACCCTCTCCTGAGTTCAAGATATAGCCAAATTATAGTAGCCATCAAACTAACCTGAAGTCATGGTCCTAGAAACTAGTAGGAACAAGGATCAATGAAAGACCTTGCATAAGTTCCTTACAAGAGGGTGGTGATAGGGAATTGGCAATGGTCCTCTCTCTGTCTTCCCTTTCTCTATCCTTTCCCTACCCTTCGTATGCACTTCTTTCTAGAATCAGTAATTTACTTGAGGAATCCCCATTCTTACTCCCCACTACAGCCTGCTCTATGCCATCAGGGACTCATATACTCAATTGAACTTCTCCAAATTAGAACTCATGATCTTTTCCCCAAAATACTCTCTTCTTCCCAATTTTCCTCTTGGGGTACCATCATCTTCTGAGTGACCACGCTCACAACTTCAGTAACATCCTCAGATCCTCACACTCACTCACCCCTCATAAATAACCTGTGGTCAAGTCTTGCTGCTACCTTCAGTGCATCTCTTGCACAAGTCCCTTTCTTTTCTTCACTCACACAACCACTACCCTATCACCTCTCACACATGTGGGCCATTGCAATAGTCTTCTAA